TATGTGGAGCAGTGGCAGGGGAAGGGGTAGTGCCGGGAGCAGGGGCAGGGTGGCTGATTGAGGAGGTAACAGGCAGCAGGCAACAGGCAGCTAATTCGTGTAGGTATTCGATAGCGCCAATTTGATATGTTGGCCGCGGCAAGGAGCACAAATTAAAGTTCGTAGAAACGTCAAAGAAAACAAAAAAACAACCTCTACCTGAGCATAGAAGATGGGTAGATGGGTTGGCAGAATAACAAAACTGAATATACATACATAGTGGAAAAAACGTAGCTTGTCTGCGTTAGAAAGATTTTTCTAGTGGCCTGGCTGGGCCTGGAGCTGGCTGGGCAGCCATCTACCTCGGCTTTGTTTTATGTCTGTGACGATCGTAAAGCAGTTAGCAACGCTATAAGGAAGAGGCTGTTAATGGCAACATGAATGGCGGCCAGAAAGAAAGTTCAGCAGCAGAAAAGTAAATAAAATGCATAACTAAACGAATGAGCAGAGAAATATGTGTGTGCAGCTCTAAAGCCAACTCTCCATAGCCTTAACAAAAATTAATGAGTAGTAAAAGCGCGGTTTGAGACTTTTTCGGCTGTCATCGCGGGGTCAGCAGCGCGAAAATCAATATCCAATCATTAATCGTTAACTAATTCCATGAAATTTTGGCAGACATCGTCGCACAGTCGCACAATCCTCATGCCGTTCTGTCCATTTGTCTGTCTCTCTGTCCCTTCGCGTGTCTCCACACTCCACACTCCTCTCTCTTTCTCTCTTCTCTGTGTGTGTGCCCCATTTACCAAGTTTTCAGACTAAAAAAAAAAAAGAAAATAAAATAAACGCAACTAGACATACCACACTAAAGACATATATTTATGCTCCCAAAAAGCCGCAGCGACGACGCTTCTTTGCGTATTTAGAAGAACAACAACAACAACTATAATACCGCCAGCAACAACAACAAAACGATCAAGATAAAAATATTTTTGGGCTGCCCTTTCTGGCTCAATGGTAGCAGCACCAAAAGCAAAGCCAGGCGCAGAGGCAACGGCGACAGCTAACAGTGACCAGCGGCCAAGCCAGTGGCGTTGCCTGATCCTCACACTGAGAGAAATTTTATATGAAACTGTGAAAAAAAAATTATGTGAACTTGTCTATGTATCTAATAGGGCTAGGGTTTGTTTTAAACTTTCATTATATTTGATTTACTTTTCAGTGGTTCGTTGTACTAAGTTCATGGTCATTTTTATTAGATTAGATGAAGTCCAAATAATTTTAAATATTAAAAAGTATGCATATATACATAGTACTATATGTATAAAGATATAAAGATTCCTTTCTTAGAATTATGTATCAAAATTTTAAGTAAATACCTTTATGATTTACAAAGAACTGTCCTAACTATAGCTTTCGCCCCTTTCTACTTTTTGTAAATCCCGCACATTTATCGATCACAATAATAGATTATCGAAAAGCAGGGTTGCTCTTACAGTCAAATGGAAACAAATATGTTACAAATACACTATTTCGATGTCATCCCAAAAGCTCCGACCTGATCGTTCAGTGTGTAATTTTTGTAAATTTTGTATCGTACCCATTCTACCAATAAATTAAAACAGTATTTATGGAAAATAAAATATTAAATAATAGCTAAAAATGTCCCATTAAAATTTCTTTGTAGTATAAATAGTCTAATTTTTTTCAGTGTACGACTGCCCTATATCGACGACTATGCCTAACGCCACTGAACGAACATTTTCGAAAGCGAATTATTTTTGTTGTTATTGGCGCGTCTGCATTTTGGGGTTTCAATAGCGATGCCAATAATGCCAACTCCTGAATGAGGATTGTGCTCGGTTTTCGTTTTCGATTTCGCAGCCGGCACGATCGACCCGACCATGAAACAATTTCATATTATTTTTGTGCAGAAGATCAATAAAATTTTACCGACAAACTGTATTTAGGTATTTACGGTCGGTCTACTCTCCATCTCACCAGTCCCTAAATAAGTGCCAAAATTGTCGTACAAAACGAGTTCCAAATCACATTTTTGTTACAGTAAGTGGGGGGATAAGAAAGAGTCCAACAAATTATTTAAACTTCAAAAATGTTTGTAGCTAAATGTGTGGAAATTTATAGAGTTGTGCGATGATTGAAAAAATGGGATAAGAAATGTTAGAGTTAAGTACTTCAAGCACCGAGCGGCGACACTTTGATCAAAATAGATTTATGGAATTGTATTTGTGATAAAAAATAATCGGAGAAAAATTGTTATTTCTTTCAATTTCGAAGTATTGGAGGAAACATGTTATTCTCACTGGACTGTGTGAACATTTCAATTCAACAACGATACACAGTCATATTTTTCCAAATTGATTTTATAAATGTAATTTTCAAGACTCAAGGGAATCACCAATCGGAGGCAGAGAAATACATTTATTGAAAAATTGTAATTGTATATTGGTGAGCAAATTAGAAATTGTTATCAATTCAAGCGGTACATATTATTCATTCAGTTAATTGCTATAAATTGTTATTGCTAAAATGTTCTATTATCGCTGTACTATATGGTTACAATTGATCATTGTTGAGTTTTATTAAACTAACAATTACAACGACCCTATCTTAATCAATTTTGATTCATTTAGTAGGGTTAATGTATACGTTTTTGAATGGCGTGGGAGAACTATTGGTTTAAATAATATTTTTTTAATTTAATCGCAGCAGATATGACATTAGAAACCTCATTTTATATAATAGAATTGGTCCCTGCTTTCAGTAATTTCTATTCTTCTGAACGAAGAGTGGAGTGTTTGAAAATTTAGAGATTTTTATAAGATTTTGAATATTTAAACGAAATTATTAAAGTAAAATTATATAATTGTAGTTAGTAGTTAGCAACGATTTCAATATTTATAACGATAAACAAGATATATTTTAATCGATATTAAAATTTGAAATTTGGATACAGAGAACATATAAATCTATATAAATAAATAAACCCAAAATCGAAGAACCCCACCAGACGACTTCGTGTGGGTTCCACAGTACAACACCATTAAAAATAAAACTCTGTGCTGTGTGTAAAAAAAGGGTCTGCATATTTCTGGGAAGCCTTTAGGTTACAGCCAACCAACAAAACTACTGCCTACCGGCCAACTCCAAAGGCGTCGCGACGATATGTTTGTGTGGGCGCAGAGGAGGGGCGGGGCGGTGTGGGGTGCGGTACGGGCAGCTGCATTCACAGGCCGGCACTAATGAATTTGTATGCAAGCCGCAGATATCGTCGCTACATTTTTGCTGCTGTTGTTGTTGTTGTTGCTCCTGTTGCTGTGATGTTCTTTTTGTTGGTTGCCAATGATTAAGCACAAAAACAAAGAGAGCAACCAGCAAGCGGTAACGGAAATGCGCAAAACAATAAAAATAAGGATCAGCAACAACACCAATAGCAACAACCACATTATGTGAAATTAGTGCACGGCAGGGCAAGGCAAGGAGAGGCAAAAGGGAAGGCGGCGCGTCCAAAAGGTGCCTGCTGCTACGCATTGCGATTTCACGATTTCGTTTTTTGATTTATGCCAAAGCAATAAAAATTATAATAATGAAGGCGCTGACATGGTGGAGGCAGAGGAGACGAAGCATAAAGTAAGTTAAAATATGAGTGCGTACGAACATGTAAAAGGGAAATGTGCAAAAAATTTGCGAACCAAAGACGTGTGTTTTTTTCTTGTTACTGTTACTGCTGCTGCTGAGTATGCTGTCCGTTACTTAATGCGCGCACAAAGTTGGGGGTGTTAAGACAGAGAGAGCAGATGATGACTCATTTTGGGCACAAAACACAAAGAAATGCTACTTTGTGACGCAGAGCTAAAGAAAATGAAAGAAAAAACCGTAAATTAAATCGATGGCGGCAGTATCAGTCTTACGGTTGTTATTAGCCTCTTCACCCCCCGTCCAACAACACAAATGTTGCTGCAGCAATGTTGATACGTTATAGCGCGCGCCTTGGGGATAAATGAGGCATACAGCGCAGTTTTATGTCAAACCTTATTATTGCGTCGCAGGGTTCTTCCTTACAATTTCAATAAATGATTACGTCATACCTAGGACCTTTTTGCAACGCAAAAGGAACCAATATTGCATTGCCTTTTGAGATTTTACCCAAGACGTAAACATTTTTGAAAAGGAAGAAAATAAATAAGAATTTTACAACCGAGCATTTGTTTAAAATAGTATTTATAACAATTATTTTCTAAATAATAGGAAAAAAATGGTTTCTTCACACTCTTTAACTTGTCTATTATTATCGCAATAAAAGCCTACAAATTATTTTAACTTTTCTGTATGTATTTATGTTTGTATGTTATGTGTTGCTCATTAAGCTGTACGCTGTTAATTAACAGCGAACGTCACACTGCGCATGTCAAACTGTAAGTGCTGAGGCTATGCAAATCATTTGATGGGCAACATAAATTTTACACAGCACATTCTAATTTCTTGTTTTTTTTTTTACTTGTTTGCACAGAATGAAGTTTTGCAGTAGCGTCTGCATGTGTGTGTGTGTGCGTGTAGTTGTACTTGGATATAGTGTTGCATATGTATTATTGAATGTCCGAAAAAGCTTGATCAAACTAGAAACAGCTAATCAAATTAAAATGCTGGTAAGCTAACCGTTCCAGTAGCGTGGGAGCAGATTTTAGATTTTCTTGAAGTATTACAAATTCATTCAATGCCCCAAAATATTGCTTGGCTTTAAAACTAAACATTTTTTCTCTGTTTAAAAAAATATACTATACTATAATAAAGAATTTGAACTATTTTGCACTGCCAAAAATGCTTTACTTCCCACGAGCCGAAATTGTAAAATGATTTCCCGCGATCGGCATTTGAAAAACTGTAGAGCTGGCGGAAAATAGCTAAATGTTAACAGCACTGTTGGTGCAGGCTGCACCCAAAACGCCAAACGGTTACACATAAAAACTAACGGCAGTTTTATAACTGCAAAAGCATAAGATTACCTTTTGAGCAGCATGCAGAGCTTGACGTTGTTGCTGTTGCTGGTGTAACCGCCGCAACTTCATCACCAAAAATAAAAACCATTTTTGCGACGAAATTTTTTTTAGTAACGAGTGGGCGCTGCATCGCCAAAGATTCTCAAAGATGATACAAAAGCAATCAAAAGCAATGCAATGGCTGGCTGAGTCTCCGGCATCCATCCTCTGGGTTTTCTTCCATCTCTTCTATCTTTGCTTGCACTTGCTGAGCCGTTAGCCGCGCTGGGGATTTCGCGTTGTTTTTGTTTGCTTTGAGTTCAAGATCAAGCGCAAAAAAAAAATAATAAACAAGGAAGCACCCGCCATGTGAGAGCGCTGACAGAGAGCCAAAACGGCGTGTTCGCAATAACAGTTTTAATTTAATTATTTTTTGCGCGTTTACAATTTTGCAAGCAGTCAAATATTTTGTCTTCACACTGTTAACACTTTTTGCATTTTTCACACTTTGTTCTGCTTGGACATAAATGTAACGGCTGTTTAGTTAGCAAATAACGCCACTTTGTCACTCCACAATGCACACACACAGCGTAGAGAGAGACATTGAAACAAACGCGCGCTTTTATTTTAAAATTACTTTTCTTTTTTTTTATTGCACGCCACTCTGCGATCGCAAGGCGAAGAGCAACGGCAAAAACACGACCGTCATCGTCGATGGTGCGCGCGCAAGTGATTCCTATGCTGCCTGCGTTCTCCTTGAAACATCGGCAACGAAGAAGAACATAATAACGGACGATTGTTGCTTTCGTCTTTGTTCGTGCTTCTGCGGCCTATGCTGTTGTTGCCGTTGTTGCTAGCAGCGGTGGTTGTTCTTGTTGTGTAGCCGTACAGCGGCAGAGGTTAAGGCTTCGGCTACAAACGACAAACACATTGAAATACATATGCCCTGCAGGAAATAGGAGTTATGCTATAAAGAATGCTCTTCAGAGTTTTTGTTGGGAAAGAAATAATTGTTTATGGCTCTATGCACGAAAAGTGATCGTTAATATGTGAAATATAAGAAATAAAGCATTTATTATAGTGATTTGGATTTTTAATGTTTGTTAAATTTTCTTATTAAAAATTTTTTATATGGCTCCCTTCATCACAATTGAGAATTTTTATTATTGATCCTTTACTTTTTTAATTGAATTGATTTATTTATAATTTTCTTGAAAATCTATTGATTTCATCGGGTTAATTGTAAGTAGTTATTTAATGATTAATATTTAATGTTGGATTTTGGATCATAAGTGTAAATTCCGTAGTATATACAAATATTAAAGAATTACTTTGAAGCTGATGCCACTATTTATTAAATACTACTATCTATTATTATTCATTTAAAAAAAGAGAAAATCAATACTTTATCTAAAGAGTTTAAAACAAATACAAAATGTATTTTCTTAGCTCGGCTTCTTGAATATTTATAAAACAAATTATAATTATTAAAGTATTTACAATAATTATAAATAATAATATTATAATATATTTCTTTACCTATCTCAATTGATAATAATACAACAAGAAGTTTGCTTAACTCTGATTTTACTACTTATTATTAATATTTCTTATTTATTTATTATTTTACCTCTTATTAATTAAATAGTAATAATTCTATAAATCATACTTTTGGCAAACTCTCCCTAAAATATAATTTTCTTAATTTCTTTGCTTAAATCTAAACCATTTATTTAAGAATGGGAAAATTTTAAATGGTATGTCAATTATTCTAATAATATAATAAAAAGCTCCTTTAATGGTATGTATGTACATGGTATATACCATATATGGTATATTTGTAAAGCAATTCTTCTTCTTACCTTTTGCCAATTCCGAAGTGATTATTATTTTATAAAAAGAATACCCACATTCCAAGAAGGAAGATACCATGAGTTTATATTATTTATTTCTTATGGAGTTGTTATGGAGTTCTTATGGGTTTCATAGAAGAGTAGGACCCTAAAACTAATTGTTAGTGAAGTGTAGCTTTAAAAGGCCTTTGTTCTTAGTGATCAGCAGATTATGTTCTCATCCAAAAACAGTTCTCTTCTAAGCCTTTTAAGAATGACAGAATCGCGCCCAAAATCCAAACTCATGCCCCCGAGCTGAAAAAAAAAAGAAAAATGACCAGCGGTAGCGGCTAAGATTTTCAAGCAAATTGTAGACAAGTTTAAATAAAATATTAAAATAATTAACTAAAAGTAGCGCCTGCAGCCAAAAGCAGCAACAAAATGAAAAGTGGAGGCACTTAAGCGAAACCTGCCGCCGAAGACCCGCAAGACGACTCCATTAGGGGCGGCCCACATTTCGCAATTTCGCGATCTTGGCAGGTGTATTTTTTTATTTCTTTACGATGGCATTAAAGGGTGCCAAATCATGAGGAAAGTTTCGGCCCGAGTGTCGAGAGTTGGAATGGGGTCTCCGGACATAGCGCGTGGCAACTCGAAGGCGCAGGACCCGCATTTATCGACAGGACAATCGATAAGGAGACGTCGCACGAGACACGAGACACGGATCTGGACATGTGCCAGGCAGTGCCTGAATTAATGGCTGTTGCCTCAATTTAGCATAACCAAGCGGGAATCATTAAACCATTAACAGAAACTACACTCGAAGAAATACTCACAAGATTGAAGAAGTGCTTGCTAAAAGAAAAGTGCGCTCACAGATAAAATAAAATACATTGGACTTGAATATGGAAACTTTCTCGAAAAGTAGGTTGAGGTTTTTCTGAAAATAAGGCAAGGTACACTAGAAGAAATACTCACAAGATTGAAGAAGCTCGGAGCTCCTTAATTTCGAGAAGTACTTGAAATAGATTCGACTTATTTATATGAAAAATTTCTCGATAAGTTGTTTGGAACTTGAGGTTTTTCTGAATGTAAGACATGGCATGGACAAATTTCCTAAAAGAACTTCGTACCTTCTTGGCAATAAATTATTGGAATTGTAATGAAAATTAGACAGAATTATTTGACTTTTCTTTCGCTGTGAATTAAACTGAGGCCCCAATCAGGCAGGCTTCTCTTCGTTGATAGATTTATTGTAGAACAGTCCCCGAAATGGCCCTGTTATCCTAATTTGTTGGTGACTTATCTTCCCAGTTACCTAAAAAACTAAGTTTTCGAACCAAGTCAACTGTTTTTGAGAATCTATAGGAATCGGTTCGATATTATCGTGAGTGGGTTAGAATTTCAAAAAAATTAACACATTGTGGAAGGAGTTTATGTTGATGTGAGGCAGCTAGTGATGTGCTTAGATTTGATAAATGAAACTGATTTGTGAGACACAGTTTTTTTTTGAGTGTATTACACACTTATGTACAGAGATATTGGCACACACTACGAGCCCAGAAATGAAAAGAAATAACGGACTGAGGACGGAAGACGAGGCAGCAGGTGATGCCCAAAAGGCCGACAAACAGTTGCAGGCGAGGACTGAATGACAGACTGGCTGAGTGACGTACTGACGGACTGACTGACTGGCTGACTGACTGAGTGACTGAATGTGGATGTGAATGCGAATGCGAATGTCCAACTGTCTGTCGCAGAGCCAAGTATGCCTGCGGTCGGTTCGGAACTGTACACCAGAGCTATAGAGGAGACGACGATCGACAGCGACGACTTTAATGAGTTTAACCCGTGCCTGCGGCGAGCTGTTTGTTAATTACAAAGGATGCGCCACAGGACAACAGCTGCGCGCAAAACACGATCACGACACCGACAGACGAAAAAAAAAACTTTTTTCAAAAAAAACTTCATCTACCAATTGATTTTGTTACCCTCTAAGCCCACGAAACTCAAACTCAAACTCGAACTGGAACTTTCGAGCACAAGCTTGGGCGCAGCTGTACTTTTTTTGTTGTTGCTGCGTCTGCTGCTCCTTTCAGCAAATTATCCTGCGCAGCTAAGCAGCCTGTGCCGCATTTCTAATGAACTTTATTGTCTTGCAAGCGAGCGGCCACAAAAGAAAAAGGTCCAGGGTCCAGCAGCGAAACTAGTTTGCGCCTTTCGCAACAACAATAACAATAATAAGAAGCTGTAGAGGAGGAAGAGCAAGAAGCTGTAGCGGAACAATTACAACAAAAACAACATCAACTAGAACAACGACAACAACAACAACAACAAGCCAAAACCGGTAACGGTAACTGTGATTCATTGAAGCGTTCGAAATTATGTTTTGATCTTCCATATGCCAAGGCGAGCCTCGCAAACCATCCTAACGAACCATACAAAATTCTCTAATCTCCAGCATGTTGTCACACCTTTGAGCAGCAGCAACAACAACAACAACAATGTTTACAATTACAAATATATTGCCCATTACAAGAGTGCGCCCTAACCTCACAAATAGTCTGGCCAACCCTCCAACCCCATTGGGTTGCTCCCTTCCATCACCTTTTGCGGCCCATCAAATAAGTCATTATACCTATGTACATACATATATATCCCAAAAAAAAAGAGAGGAACAGCTTTATTAATTGCCTGTAATTTGTTTATATTTTCTAAGCAATTTACTTTACGGTTTAGGGTCATTGAAATGGCAAGTAAGGGTTATTAAGAAACAGAGACTTTGCTTAAACAAACAGAGGGTAGCAGTTTTCAAATAATGCTGTGGAATTTCTTGGTTAAAACTGCAAAAAAAGTTTTGAATTTAAAGAAAAACCTTACGAGCACTCTTAGAGGTCTTTCAGAGCTTACTAGAAACCAGTTGGTTGCTTCGTTATTTGAAAAGAGAAAGGGTTCTAGTTAAAACCTGCGAATAAGCCTTTGAAATAGTGAAACCTTAAAGAAATTGTTTGTATTTTTCGATTTTGGGAGAATTCTGAAAGGCCTCCTAGAAGTTTCTAGATTTTTTGTGAAACTTAAAAGAAAAGGATGAAATGTCTTCTACTTGTAAATGTTTCTAGACACTACTTGATTGTTTTCAAATAATGCTGTGGAATTTCTTGGTTAAAACTGCAAATAAAATTTTGAATTAAAATAAAAAACAGTACGAACACTCTTAGAGGTCTTCCAGAGCTTACTAGAAATCTCCAACTGCTTCGTTATTTGAAGAAAGGGAGGGTTCTAGTTAAAAACTGCGAATAAACCTTTCAAATAGTAAAAAGGCCTCCTAAAATATAGATTTTTTGTGAAACTTAAAAAAAAGGATGAAATGTCTTCTAAAAGTTTCTAGACACTACTTTGTTGCTGTTTTTAAAAAATAGTGTTTGTTTTAACTCTTAAAGGTATTTCTAGGTGTAAATTAAACACACACACATGAAAAATAAATTTCTTAGAATTCTAAAAAAACCTGCTATTGCTTTCTAAATTTATTCTGAAATTATGATAGTAAATTTATTTTTAAAAGTAAAACTCTTAGAATGCTACTGCTTTCTAAATTTATTTTGAAATTATGATAAACATATTTATTTTTAAAAATTAAATTCTTAGAATTCTTAAATACCTGCTACTGGTTTCTAAATTTTTTCTGAAATTACGATAAACAAATTTGTGATGATAAAAGTTTTGATTGGCT